CCTGGCAAATCTTGCACCGGTCAAGTCCTCGCATTAACAGAACACATTGAAGAGGGCTTTGAAGAAAAACCTATAACAGGGGCTGCTTTTGTAGATATGACAGCAGCCTATGACACAGTAAGGCACAAAACATTGCTCCGCAAATTATACGACACTCTCAATGACCACCATCTCGGAAGGGTCGTATATTCCTTACTGCAAAATAGACGTTTTTTCGTTATGCTGAAGGGTAAAGTAAGTAGATGGAGAGTTCAAAAAACGGCCTCCCACAGGGAAGTGTTTTAGCACCAATGCTCTTCAATATATACACAAACGACCAACCTACTCCGACCGAAACCAAGCACTTCCTCTATGCTGACCATCTTGCAATATGTGCTCAAGGAGATAGTTTTGAAGAAGTGGAGGAGAAACTCAAAACAGCCTTAAAAACAATGACAGCGTACTACCTGCAGAATTCTCTGAGACCCAATCCCTCTAAAACCCAAGTCTGCGCTTTCCACCTTCGCACAAATGAAGCCAAGCGAAAACTCCAAATTGTGTGGAATGGTAATGCATTAGAATACACAAACCAACCTATATAACTTGGAGTAACTCTGGACCGGTCCCTCACCTACAGACAGCATTGCATAAAAACAAGAGGGAAAGTAACAACTAGGAACAGCATACTCAGAAAGCTAACGGGAAGTAAATCGGGCTCTTCTACTTTGATAGTAAGTAGGTCTTTATAGTGTTCCACCCACCTTTTCAATACTTCTTCTTTTGTATTGAGTATACGCCCCTCCTTATCCTTACATAGCCCGATCCTTGGTTTAAAGTCTTTTCTTGCATTATTAAGATTTTTATCGAATTTTCTTGTTTGATTTTCCTTTTTTAATGCCTTAAGTTCTTCCAATATTCTATTTTCATAAGTTCGCTTTTTTCTCCGATGGATGTACTTCTCTTCTCTTCTGAGATCTTTATATTTTTGTTCTTTCTCTCGGGTTCTACAAAGTATTTTAATTTATATATCCACTGAATATTTGGCGATTCGTACCATCAACATTGAGCGATTTGGAATGTATGAAACAATTAGAAGCATATTGTTGAAACAATTGCCGTTATTTTTTGAAATTGCTCCATATCGGTCCAATAATTACTCCAGATTGATCCATTCTTGTTGTCGAGTAACTATTGCTCAAAAAATGACGCGCTATAAAAGTATTTCCTAGCTATTAAAAAAAAATTCGATTTTTTAAAAATAGTTTTAAGGAACCGGGCCTTAATAGTTTTATGTAAGGAATATGGTAATCTTACGTATCTTATTAATAATTATACACATATGTCCAAAAGTTTGGAATACGTACAAATAATATATCTAGCCTATGGTGGTTTTAAAATTGTTGTTGCTGTTCATTCTAGAGCATTTTTAAATGAAAATGATAAAAAAGTTGAATCATTTTTGTATTATTTTGGTCACATTCAACCGATTAGCGTATTTACACATTATTTCAGTCTTTGTTTAACCCTTAGTTGCCGGATTAATAAAAATAATACAAAATTTTCTAATTTTTTGATGAAATATGTTCAAAAATACATTCAAAAAGAAGTATAATTTTTTCAAAATTTTTCAAAACTTTTACGGAAAAAAACAGATGCGGTACTTTAAAGTACCGTCAGGCTGTGTAGAGTAATTTAGTGTGGTATTAAGCTATCAAGTGACCAATGATAAATACGGAGATTTTTATCAATTTATTTGTAAAAAATACATCAATATTCAACATCGTAATATATATATATATATATATATATATATATATATATATATAATATATATATATATATATATATATATATATATATATATATATATAAATATATATATATATATATATATATATATATATATATCTATAAATATATATATATATATATATATATATATATATATATATATATATATATATATATATATATTGAAACAGTTCTTCTTCTCATTCGAACACGGATAACCTTTGTAGGTAGAACATGTTGAATGAGGTCGCGATTGTACACCTTGGCTGCTGCATACCTCACATCTACCTTTTTGGGCACCATATTTTGCCCAGTGGAAGCCTCTATTTGAAAGGTGTATATCGGATGGGACTAAATAATATGTTCCTCTTCTTCTTTTTTTGGGGTACACATCACTATTCGGTCTTCGTAGTTTTGATAGAGTTTTCACAAGTTTGTGAGCCATCAGGCCCATAGCAACTCCTCTTCGAAAATCTAAAAGAATTTGGTTTTCTCGAATGTCGCAGAATATTATATAAGCATTAACGAATTATATATCTATTAATCCCCAAAATAGTCTATGCCACCACTTCTTACTATGTCTGTCAAGTCCATAAGCAGTTCTCAAACGATCAGCATAGTCAACACCCCCCATGAATTTATTGCAATCTTTAACAATCATGGGAGTAACAATATCAGCCTTAGTACCATCTTTTTGGGTCCTTTGAACAGTTATTTCCTCACGATCGTGGTAATTACTAGCAAAGTAAACAATTTTATTGTCCTTCCATTTCCACACTCCAATATCCATCGACGAAATCCTGTAATCAAAATCTATGCGCCTCATGGATTTATCAACTATCAAGTTCTTGGAAAGAAACTTTTTATTCGGTCTAATTGTTTCACATGCTAACGTTAGTTCACTTTTTAACTTCTCTAACAAGGGTATGGAGGTAAAATAGTTATCGAAATAAATCATTCTTTGCTTTCCCCATTCTTCTTCAGTAAGATGCAGAACTACGCGGGCTTCTAGTGCAAAGTCCTTATGCTTTTCTTCAACTATGCTGTGTTTTCCCTAGTAAATTTCAAATTTCATAATATATCCATATTGATCAGAAAGACACCATATTTTGTAGCCTCTCTTGATAGGTTTGAAAGGTTTGTACTACTTTAGAGAGCTCCTTACATTGAAAAGTGTTATCGATTCGTCAACCGAAAGCTCACGAGTTCCTCTATAATTTCTTGAAAAATGTTCGTTTAGTTTGTCTATCATTGGTCTTATTTTGTATAGCTTATCTTGAGTTTGTGTATTAATATTAGTACTGTCGTTTATATAAAGATTGCTCAATATAGCATCAAACCTGTCTCTGCTCATTGCAGCTTGAACGATTGCAGTTTTTAGGTCTTCGCTGTTAGACCAATAATGCCTCCAATTTGGTAACTTGTGATACTCCATGAACTTGTTTAATCCTAAAAATGTTATCAATTCATCTTTTTTATATTCAGAATCTTATTCCTTTTTACACCATATAAGTTGCTCTGATAACCTATATCATCAATTGTGGAACCTAAAAGGCAAATAAAGATGTCAGTTCCAGTTTCGCAACTAGCAAAAATATCCTCTACTGTACGTGTTGGGTACATATATTTTGGATTAATTACTATTAAACTGGGAATAAGCCACAATTAAAGATAAAAATACGTTTATTGGAAGTGGAAATTGAAACGTCAATAAACGTATTTTATCTTTAATTGTGGCTTATTCCCAGTTTAATAGTAATTAATTTACAATGCCACAAGAAAATAGCTTCAGAACAACATATATTTTGGAGATGCAGTAGTTATTTCTCTTTTATACCACTTTCTATCTAAAATTGCCTCATTCTTCTGACTCAAGTCAATTTCATGCAATGAATTTACCTCGACATCTTCTGATATACCACTTTCTATGGACTGAGTCATATCTACTTCTAATGTACTTGAAGGTACAGCATTGTTACGCCCGCCGCACACACATCGAATTTGGACGGTCGATAAAAGTTCGGTCGAACAAATTCCTTTGGTGGCACGAAGAAACAAATGTGAGCGAGCACACACATCGATCGCCAAACGGCACGGCATCGATGTCGTGTCATGGTCGTGTGGCGATCGATGAATGTCACTGCATTCACGGCTGCCCGTGGTCGTTGCCGTCGTTCCAAGGCGTATAGTATCAAATGACCGCGCGCACACACATCAATCTTTATCGACCGACCAGAGGACCAGCTGCATTGGTTTGACACTGCTCAAGGTACGTCGCTCCGTGTGTTGCTACGTGGTTCTGTGTTGCTCAGTGTGATTTTGTGTACTCCACCTAACAAACTTTTGTGGATTAAAAAACGTCATCGAATAACTATCGTGTAGTGTGCGCGCAAGGCATCATCGACAAAAGTTCGGTCGAACTAATATCGACCGTCCAAATTCGATGTGTATGCGCCTAGCCTTAGAATTAATTAATGCGTCATCATCATTATCTGATTCTTCGTCAGCTTGGAAATTTAGGTCATCTGGTATATCCTCAAACAAGAAATTGTCAACAATATTTAATAATTCCGCATCACTTAGAGATTTTTGCTACTCCAGTCTATTTTTCTTTCTTCTAAAAAAGGTTAAAATATAATAAGAAAAGATACTCTTGAAACAAATTTATTTCCAGTCATAAATTACTTCCAAATGCCTGACGGTACTTTTAAGTCCGCAGCGAAAAGTATCAGTTTTCTCAAACAACAGTAATTATTTATCAAAAGTAAATACTTACGTTTGCACTCAATCGGGGACAACATTAGTTTTATTAATAATTATTTTTTTCTATACCAATTTATTTTTAAATGTAAGTTGTACATTGTAAGTTTTTCACTCCAAGAGAATAAATAATTTTTTTGCATATCCTTTATCTGGTTTTGAGATTTATTAAGTATTGTTGAGAATTGAAATAAAATGATGTTTTCCTATTTAGAAGAGTTTATAGATTAAAATCAATAAAAATATGAAATATTCCAATATTCCAAACTTTTGGACATATGTGTATGTATTTACTACGTAGAAGGAATCCAATTAACAACAACTTCGCCTAACTTGAACTTTAAATCACTGTACTAAGTATTAGTTAACTGCTCGATGACATTATGACCTAATATTATTTATAATATATGGTAGAAAAATAATCCAAAGAATGTAACATTGTTTAACCAATGTGTTAAAATACCAATTACCTTGAACATTCCACCATTGTTCTATTATAGGCGCTGCCTGCTATATCCCTATCCGAATAATGAACTAAAGAATATAATGCCATTTGCGTATCACACGGTTCTGGTTTTGTCATTTGCAAAGCAAATTTTTGAACAAACTCCTTATCACTTAAAGGCATTTCTTCATATTGGTCGTTTTCATGATTATGAGCAGCATATTCGTGTTCATCCATAACCTCGAAGTGGGTTTCTTGGAAATGCTCTGAAGGATAAGCTTCAATTTGTGAGCCCAGGATGGTTTTGGTGAGGAAAATCAAATACCCAGTTAAGTAGCTGAACAGGTTGGAAAGATGAACAATTGGCTAAAAAAATTAAAAATATCAATGTAAATATCGTTAGGTATTTAAATAATATTAGGGAGAAGAGGGAGACTTGATCATATGGGAGACTTGATCACTTTAAAATTTCAATAAATAAGTAGCCTAAAATTATAAAACCGGCAACAAAGCGTAGAAGTTAGTATGTCTGAAGATCCCATTTAATTTAGTTTGTATTAGAATCCACAAGAGCACGTGTTTATTACAAGTTTTTTGTCCCTACCGAGAAGTGTTTTCAGAATTATTTTAAGTTGATTTTCTTTAATATTCGTTAAGGTGCGTTTTTCGTATAATTTTTATTTAACACTATAATCATTCAGTTTACGTTTTGCACATTTTGCAATGAATTCTAGTTTGTCGTCATATTTTTATAGACAAAAATATTCAAATGGCGTCTTGGGGGACACTTGATTACATCTTATCTGGGAGATGTGATCCCGGGATCAAGTCTCCCAGAAACTCTTATAGATGAGTGTTTTTTATTTTATAGAAATGCCACGTCAATACAAAAGGAGGGAAGGAACAAAGAAAAGAACACCAGTCGACAGCCAGAAGTTAAAAGAAGCTGTATTAGACGTTATTAATAACGGAACGTCTCTCAAGGGAACGGCAAGTCGTTATCAAATAAATGTTATGACATTAAAAAGATACGTTCGCCGACAACGATCTGAAAATGTTGAAATAACCTATTATCCTGATTACAAGAAGGCTCAAATTTTTAAAAATGCAGAGGAAAATATGTTTAAAGATTATTTAGATGTTGCCAGCAAATTACACCATGGCCTTACAACCAAACAAGCAAAAGAACTAGCATACGATTTTGCCGTAAGAAATAATAAAAAAATACCTGCTTCGTGGAATAAACATAAGCAAGCCAGTTACGACTGGTTATACGGATTTCTGAAGAGGATGAAGACCTTATCACTACGATCTCCGGAAGCAACCAGTCTTACTAGAGCAACTAGCTTCAACAGAAACAATGTATCAAAATTTTACATAAATTTAAAGACAGTTCTTGAAAGCAATGGAATTGGACCAGAAGCAATTTGGAGCATAGACGAAACTGGCCTTTTAACTGTCCATAAGCCAAAGAAGATTATTGCATGCAAAGGTGCAAAACAGGTTAGTAAAATTACGTCAGGGGAACGTGGACCAACAGTAACTCTTTGTGGTGCAATCAACGCAATTGGAAATCATATACCGCCTTTTTTGGTTTTTCCTCGAAAACTTTCGCAAGATCGCATGATTGATCATAGCCCACCAGGGACCACCGGCGTAGTTTATGAAAGTGGATGGATGACCGCTTCTAATTTCATCAAATTTTTGGAACATTTTCAAAAACATGTAAAGGCGACTACCGACAATAAATCTTTAATCATAATGGACAATCACGATAGCCACGTTAGTCTGGAAGCCATAACGTATGCCAAAGCATACGGAATAGTTCTTCTTACCATACCGCCACATACGTCGCATTTGGCCCTCTCAAGAGTTTTTATAATACTGCCTGTGATGATTGGATGGTGGCGCACCCAGGAAGGACAATTACAATATATGAAGTCGGAGGATGCTTAGCTTACGCTTTCCCCCTAGCTTTTACCCCACGTAATATTGAGAGTGGATTCAGAGTTACGGGTATATGGCCTTTCAATTCCAATATTTTTACCGATGAAGATGTTATGTCGGCGTATGTTACTGATCGCGAAGATCCGGAAAACAAATCCACTTTATCCCAGTTTGATGTTGCACAACCAGCCATAGATAACAATAATCAACCCTCCACTTCTACTGGCACTTTCACCACCCCTGAAATTATTAGACCACATTTCTCAAGTGGATCCATTTCACATAATCAACAACTACGACGAACACTAATTAAGGACGAAAATCAGCCTTCTACTTCTACTGGTACTTTCACCACACCTCAAATAATTAGGTCCCATTCTGTAAATGGAGATACTTCACAAAATGAACAGCTACAACAAACATCAAAAGAGCACAATAACCATTCTTTCCCTTCTGCCACGTTTACTAGCCCAGAAATGATTAGACCCCACCCTAAAGCCGGGCCCAGGACTTCAGCAAAGGGTAGAAAGCGAGCAACTACAAAAATTCTCACAGCAACACCAGAAAAACTTGCGCTTGAAGCTGAAGTTAAGGCTAAAGAAAAGAAAAAATTAGAAAAAGATCAAAGGGCCAAAATAAGAGCCCTAAAAAGAATAACTAAACAAAAACTTATGGATTTGAGGGAATCTTTAAGTTCGGGGGGCAGTGACATTATACTACCATCGTCAGAGTCTGAATATGATCCTAATGATGAAATGCAAGTAGAGACAGATAGTGAATGTGAATCGGAAGCAGAAGGTGGCGAGTTTGAGTTGAGTGTGCAAGATTGTGTAATTGTCAGCTTTGTCTCCGAAAGAAACTTAGTCCATCGATACGTAGGACAGATAATGGAAAAAAAAGAACAAGGATTTTAAAATCAAATTTGCCCAAAAAAGGAATGAAAAAACCTTTAAGTGGCCAGAATAAGAAGACATGGGTGAAGTCCCACGTGACCAAATTTTAAAAAAGTTACCACGCCCGACTTTTAGGAGCTACAGTAAGCGCATAGGATGTTTTGTCTTTCCCAAATCACTAAGGATGTTCAATATTCGAGAATAATTTTTTTTCTTTTATCATTTTTCAGTATAGTTTTTTGCCAAAAAGTGTTATATATTTTTAATAACATTATTTGTTATAAGTCATGACTGAGTAAAGTTAGTTTTCAGCATCCAATTTTTGGTTTTATTTTAATATCGTAAATCTAGAAAGGTATAATCAAGTCTCCCATACACAAAGATCAAGTCTCCCGGAGTACGGGGAGATATGATTAGTTTCTCCATGTTACGAAATTCTACAAAAACTCATTTTTTATTAGCAGTATATTTTTCGGGTGTACAATACCCAAAACTGTGATAAATTTGTAATGTTCCACTAAATTATCAAGGTTCTAGATTGGTTGTAAAAGGAGCTATCTGAAAAAATGTAACGGTGGGATCAAGTCTCCCTCTTCTCCCCTAAATATAAATATAGGGTGACACAAAGTGTTACCCTTAAACTCTTGTTTTTATGCCGTATTGGACATTTTCCGTTAAGGGCGGACACTATCTTTTAGCTTGTTCGCGTTAGTTTTCAAACTCATCACATTATATCTAATTGTTTAAACATTCCTTTATAGTTTTAAACTAGATAATTTTCAGTTGATTAGTGCCCATGAAGAGTAAACTAGCTGGGATAATATGTTTGTTTATATTTTTCCTAGCATCTTGAGAGGGACAGTCATGTTAAAATTAAAGGTATATTACAACCATAACGAAAAACATGACCATAATACCATCGTAAAGACAGAACGGTCAAAGCTTAATCTGTATAATAACCGAGAAAAAGTAATTTTATCTTTTGATCCCTGAGGAATATGTAAAATGTATTAACTTACCGATAATAATCTGGAAGCCGGACTTTCTGTTTCTTGTCCTTCAGCACACAATCCTTGATAATCATACATAGTAGTTACTTTATAGATTTTTTCATCTATTAGTTGATTCATTACGTCCGGCATAATTTTTCCGAAGAAAAAACCGGTTTCTTTAGGATTGTCACTGACGATTACATAACCGTTGTCGTCAAGGACTAAACAGTGAAGTTCTTGAGAAGAACATGTTCTTGTACACGGGATAGTACCACACTACAACAATATTATTATTAATATTAAACATTAGTATAAAACTTACAAAAAACCGTGTTTATCAAATTATAAGCGAACATATAAAAAACACAAGAAGAATACATTATCATTGCATAAAATATAGATGAGAAAGTTAGAAATCCTCGTGATTTGCAGTTTACATAATTGAAACAATAGAATATGTACTAACCATAATATTATATTTATTAATAAAATTGATTTATGTAATTTACAAGTTTATGGTTAATACACTGAATACAAAAATTAACGTAAATTCATTTTCGATTAATAATTCGAAACATTCATCGAAAACAGCAAGGAATATACGAGTACATCATCATCATCATCATCATTCTATCCAGTCGTCTCTATCCATCGCCTTCCTCCGCCAAGTACGTATTCCTATATTTCTCATGTTTTCTTCATGATGATATTAAGAAACCTTGTGCTGGGTCTTCCTCTTCTTCTCTGACGCCATTCCTCTAGATCTCTGGGTCTATCAATGAGCGTTTATCTAGCTGGTTATTTTGTTCCATCTGCATTACATGCCCTATCCACCTCAGACATCCTATCTTAATATCTTTTACAAATACTGGTTCCAGGTATATTCTATAAAGTTTGAAGTTGTATTGTCTTCAAGACACTCCATTGTCATTCATTACTATTCCATAGATTCGCTTTAGTACTTTTCTTTCGAAACATACTAATATGTTTTCATCACATTTTGTTAGAGTCCAGGTCTCTGACTCATATAATAGGACTGAGCGTATTATTGTTTTGTACAGTTTTATTTTTGTATTTCTAGATATAATTGTGGATTTAAGGAGATTGAGCCCAAAAAATTCATCTGTTGGCCGTGCAATTTCTGCGGTTTCTCTCTGCAGTATTATTATTTTCAGTGTTAAGGAACGCTTCCACGTATAAAAATTCGTTCACTGCTTCGATGACGTCGTTTTTTATAACAAGTGGTCGTAGATTTTGTGGTTGCATGCTTATGTTCATATACTTCGTTTTGTTGATGTTTATAATTAAACCCATTTTTGTAGCTGATTCTTTTAACGCTACATACGCTTCTCGTACTTTCATGTTCTCCAAACAATATTAATATCATCTGCACAGGCAAAAATTTGCACTGATATATTATATATTCAACCAATGGTTGTGATTTTGTGACATAAGTATTCCTTTTTTGTTACGTTCCAAATTTAAAGTAGAAAGTCCCAGCTCTATTTTCAAAATTTAAACAATTCTAGACGTGTAAGATCGGTTGCCTATAATATATTATAAGCAAGGTAGCGAAAATAAAATTAGTAGTTTTTAAATAGGTGTAATGGCTGGCAAATTGTCCTGAAGTTAACGGGAAATGTCCTCTTTTTGTGAAGAAACTGTTGAATTGGGATCACAATATTTAAATGTTCGAATCTCGGTATTATTCGGTGATCTCCGTGTGTCAAGTTATCAAGTGTTAGGGAAGACGACGGAAAGGAAGTGATTCTAGGTTTGACCGTGGTACTGAAAAGTTCGGGCTAGTTTAAAAACGACCTTTTATTTTTTTGCTGCTGTTCCATGTGGGATCTGGACTAGTACGAACCGTATGGATATTCAAGTGGATTGGCTGCCTTCCTGGAAGGGTTTTTTGGTAATATTCACAATTTCGCTAAAAAATATCAGTCCATTTTGGGATATTTTAAACCCCTAATCTGGCTAAGAAGGGTGAGTGTTAGAACATTACGTTTTTAATTAATTAAAAAGTTGTAGTTATTTTTTATCCCATCTCTAATCAAGTTCAAACACAAGTCTTTTTTTGTATTGCTACATTATCGCCAAATGCAGATAAACAAAGTGTTAAAATCAATATATTCATTTCCAAATAATTATTTTAGACACGTATGGTAATTAGTGTTTTCTTTGCTTCAGGAATTTTCTTCTTCTTTTTCTGTCTGGCTGCGATTTTCAACTTTTCCACATTGTCATACAAGTCTATGTACATCGGCAATCGTATTTTTGGAATTCCTCCTAAGTCGCAGTAGACTTTGCGAATGGTATTTTTGGATTGAAGACACACTGAACTTTAACTAGGATTCCCCGCGGTGAAGAATATGAATGTGATTAAAAATTCAAGGTATAATTTGTTCGCCGTCTAATTTGTTTATGGGATACAATGGTTTTTTTAAGATTATTTGCGGTTTATTTTATTAATTAAATATTTACATTACACATACCTATTATAATTTTGTAAACTGTGTCTAATGGGGGGGGGGGTTAAATATTTGAGTTAGATTTATTTTTTATATTATTTTATGCGCAAGCACTTGAGCTCTCGTGGTGTCCTATTTGGGTTAATTATTTTGTTTGTTGGTATTAAACCACACACCCCTTAGTGACCGGTCTTACCTTTTTTTGTGCAAATAGATATAAATAACTTTTGAATTTTTGTTAGGCAAGTAAAAGCAGCATTTTTATATTCTTTTTATTAAGCCTATGGTAAAGTTAAATAATATTGTAATATGTATTTGTTTCCAAATATCTTGAGAATCTATTTATTAAAATTGATTAAATCCTGATTTTACACAATTTCATTTATTTTTTTTTTATTTATTCAGCTTGTATACTATACTTAATATTTTAGCAGTAAACCTATTGGTAAGTTGACGGTTTATTGAATAGTAATGTAGGGAAGGCTATGGGCCAATTTACCTGGCGCCCCTGATATAACTTCAGATTTTGTTTGTTTTGTGGACCGCACGACCATCTCCACTGTTTTGTGACCGCGAGTCATTCCCAGACTGTCACCCAGCGTATAATACTTTTCTTTCCGCGTGTACGTCTGATTTATATGTGGTACATTTTGTAACCTTTTTTATATAGATTCGGTTTTGTAAGCCACATTTTCCACAGCCAGATTAAAGGGGCCAGTATACAGGAGAGAGGGTCTCCCTGGCGCAGCCCGTTATTTGTTTTAAAAGGTTCAGATAGTCTCCCCTGAATTTGTACTCTTAAGAGTTAGTTTTGTTAAATTCACCAACTGATTTGGTATTTCTAGCTCTTTCACTGCTTTGAACATTTACCTTCTATTCGTAGATTTGTAGGCTGCTTTGAAGTCTTACATACGAGTGCATCATTACTCCAACATTTTTTTAACGATTATAATTTTTTTTACGATATTTATGTATTGTAATCAAAATCAGCAAAATGCTACAATTTTGTACAAGAAATATTATTTTTTTCCAAGTAGGAAATCTTAGGATTCCTAGTGTTGTTGTTAAATATTATTTTATTTATCATTTTACATTTCGTTCTAGGGTACTTGTATAAAAATTAAAAGCATTCCATATTTTATACCAAAGTTTTCCTTGTGATTTAATTTCATTGCCATGTACTGTAACGTGTCCAAAATCCGATTCGTTACAGTTTGTCTAATGTTCATTTATTTTATTAACTTTTATAAAACCACTGAGTATATAACTTAAATTTTTGTAAAAATTTTCAAGAAATAATTTTTAGCTGTGCTAATAAAAATCGCATTATAGGTTCATCTACCCGCTATAATTCTTTTAAAGAATTTACCGCTTTAGTACTACAGTAAAATACCGTACGATCTACTTCTGTATCTGTATCTGTAGAGTAGGGAGGGCGAGTTAAGTTTCACAGCACTTAGGCCACAATTGACCTATTGTGCATCTTCCTAGAGAGCTGTCACCCTTAGCTCATTGTCCATCCTGCCATTTCTAGGAAGGTATACAAGTCACCAGGAGACATCTCACTTATGTGGGCAGGTGTGGGCCAGGACTCGCCAAACGCGTACTCTCGTATTACCGATAACTCTGGGCATTCACATAGGACATGCTCTACAGTTTCGTCTTCTCGTTCACACTTCCTACATAGAGGTGTGTCTACTAGCCCCAGTGTGTGGAGGTGTTTGCTTAGTTGACAATGACCAGTTAAAAAACCAACTGCCAAACGTAGATTTTTCCTGGTTATTCCCAAGTACTTCTTTGATGTTGACTCTTCAAGGTTACTTAGTGTTACCCTGGCAAGTTTACATCCTTTCCCTTCTTTCCATCTTTTTACGATTTGCGTATGGGAGTGACATTTGACAATTTCCGCGATTGTTGTAGTTGACCAACCAAAAAGATCCCCAGGTCCTAAGAGTCTTAGGCCTGCCGCCTTCCTAGATAATTGGTCAGCAATGCGGTTGCCTTTATTTCTATTGTGTCCTTTAACCCACTTCAGGATAATGGTATTACCATCCGAAGCTTAAGTTAGTGACTCGTGACACTCCATTACTAAACCTGATGTGACACGTGGTCTATTTAAGGTTAGTAGCGCTTGTCTGCTATCTGTGCAGATCATTATAGTTTTCCCTGCTATACCTTTTTGGGTTGTCTTTTGCGGCTATGGAGATACCAGTCAGTTCTGTCTGAACTACACTGGCATTTTTGCCCATACCCCACTTTATTCTTAGGTTCAGTGATCTTCAGTATATCCCGCATCCTGAGCCTCCTTTCATTTTGGAGCCATCGGTGTATATGCAATAGGCATTTGCCACGTTTGTCTCCATGCACTGTCTTGTTTCAATACGATTATCGGTTCTATCTGCGAAGACATCCGTCTATATTATTACGTAAACTACAAGCAACAAGTCTAGCCAGATCGACAGCATTTAATAAAACAAATGTTAATTTATTTTTTGATAAACTGGAGAAACTTATGGTAAGGTACACATTTAGTCCGGATATAATTTATTATTTAGACGAAACCGGACTAACCACGGTGCATACCCCGGTTCGTGTTATTGCAACGAAAGAAGTTAAACAAGTCGGCAGCATCACATCAGCTGAAAGAGGTGTAAATGATATAAAACATACAAATTCAAGTGCTCACAACAAATCACTACTGATTGTCGACAATCATGAGAGCCACATTTCAGTGGAAGCTTTAAATTTAGCAAAATCATTGGGAGTCGTCATGCTTACCTTTCCACCCCACACCATCCACAAGCTACAACCGTTAGATAGGTCGGTTTTCGGGCCTCTAAAGAAATATTATAATACAGCTTGTTCCGACTGCATATCCACAGACATTTACAGAAAAATATTAAGTCTGGTTTTACTGTTTCTGTAATTTTTCCATTCAACAGAAACATTTTCGAAGAGCACGAATTTCTCAGTTCCTATGTTACGGATAGATCACCAGTTGCCGAAGAGTCAAGAAATAATCAAAATACCTCCGAAACTAATAGTTCCTCGAATATTTCTGTAGAGGGTCTAGGAATGCCTTCAGGAACAACTAGTATGTTTAATGATCCTAGTTCTTCCTTAGTATCCAATGAAATAAATCAACATAAAAGCCCCGAAAAAATTCGCCCATTTCCCAAGGCAGCTGCGAGGAAATTTACGAAGAAAGGAGGTAAGAAACTAGGGCGCTGTAGAATGGTTACAGATACCCCAGAGAAGAACGAGATTGAAATGATGGCGCTCCTTAAAACCACGAACAATTTTTTTTTCAAAAAAACAAAAAGCAACCAAAAAGGTTCTTGATAGTAGTTCTGATAAAGATGTAATAAAAAAAGCGAAATATTGAAATAATCCACTAGATGACGTGGATTTTGTTTTGCCAATGCGGAAGAGGAAGATTAAGATTTTCTTGAGTCTGGCAACAAGCACTGCATGGGAGACTTTATTTTAGCACAAATTGCACATTTTTTCATTACATCTTTTCGAAAATGACACTGTCTAGGACTTGCCTGACGAAGATATGGTGATGAAACTAGAAGCCCCTTTAGTAGTGGGGAGCACTGTCAGAAGAAATGCTGAGATGACATTATCTATCGATTTATCTGCATTTAACGTCCAATAAATAAGCGTTTCAAAGTACACATACTTATGTTCCAAAGAACCAACCTCGGTGTGTACTTTGAGACCTTTAGGATATGGTGAATTTTTCTATTCTTCATAAGCATATTTGCCATTAGAATTAATATTTTATTTTTTTTATGTTTACTTAAAGATACTCTATTTCAAAAAAAATCTTATTTCGAAATAAAATTTAAAAACTACTGAAACCTGCTTTTATTTAAAAACCGTTCCAAAGTACAAGGATCTCCCCTACCAATATTCCGTAAACGAAAAAGTATTGACTCAATTTCATCATCAGAAATCATACAGCACCTATAATAAAATGTAAAATAATAAATAAAATAATATTCATTCTTAAAAGCTATGACCTGACTTTTAGCTAATTTTGGTATTAATATATAAATACACAGTAAATTATTAGCAGAAAATGAAAAAAAAACTTTTCAACTACTTGTAACACACTGTATCTTTTTATACAGCAATATTTTATTAAGACATATTTTGCTAATGAGCGTATTTTGATAGATACATAACCTAATATCAGTTTACTTCCCAGCAGTTATAATTCACTCTGTATATACTTACATTACTAGTGATTTGAGTAAAAAGGGATTGCAGTGCTCCATGGAAGAATTGATATCCAACGACAGCGACTGGAGCCTTCTTTCCTTGTTCTTCTTTAAAAATAGCTCGGCTAACAGTAACCAAGCTTAAACTGGAGTTTCCTATAAAGAATAATTTGTATAACATTTGAGAATAAATGAGAGATAAAAATCTGTTAATATTAATTGTTAAATCTGTAATTTACGTAACGTTTAAAGTTCTGCATCGGTGAACGATAAAGAAAAAATATTTCGTTTGGAACTCCAATAGTTTTAAAAAATCAATATAAAATTAATTTAATTACAAAATACAATTTTATAGTTTACCTGTGTAATGAGGAACAGAGTAGATAAAGTCCTGAGGGTCCACATAATGATGTTCAACAGCACGCCGGTACCAAACTTCATCAATAGCTTTATTGTGAAGAATGTGAAAGTTTCTGGAAATTTAAAATAATTTTAGGAAATATTGAATTTATACTTCTATACGCGCGCTCGACGTTGGAAATTTGTACGGGAGTGAATTCATATTATATAACTTATTATTATATTTATCTATGATTGAATCTGTGAAACCATTACATATGTAAGATATGAGTAAGAGAGAGACAGAATATATATTTTCTCTCTCGAGAATAAAAATGTTCCTTTTGTATATATATATATTTGGCCTTTTAATATAATAAAGCGACAGCGGCTTTCGCTAAAAGATTTAATCTTTAAAATTATATATAAATATATATTATATATATTGTTATGATGTGTTGTTGTATGAGCAATGAGTAAATTTGAATGATATATGTAAGTATAGGGTTTTTATCGCGGTTCTCAAAGAATTAGTTTGTAAGTACTTTTTTTAAATTATCTTTATTATAAATATTATGAAACAAACCTATCTATCTAATATAAGCAATATCAATTTAAAACAATCTATCTAAAATTTGAAATTCTTACAATTATTAAATTATTAACAAAATTTGGTACCTTCTTTCACTGAACACCTAAAATTTTTCCAAAATTAAAGTTATTATCACCACTCGATATCTTCTTACTAAGCCTTGGTTATCCCACTATGTTAATATCTTCCTTCTTAATTATCTCCACTCACCATATAAATATATATTTAACTCCTTGTAATTTCCATATACTTAATGTACTTTGAAATATACTGGATCTTGTAGTTGTATTATTGAATGCTCATTTCAATGAATAACTTCAAAACTGTCACTATATTACTGTAGTAATAATTAATCTCCAACTGTATTGTACCGTTTTTAAATAAAACGAGCGGTTCGAATTTATATAAATATATTTATTTATAACTTTACAGTTCGATACTATCTTATCAACTAAACTTAAATCCTAATTTCGTTACATATATATACCAAAGTATTATGTTCGAGAATATTCGAGAATAGTCCCACCTCTAATTCGTTATTTGATGGGTGGAATTTTACAGCGCTCGAAATATCGCCGAAACTCTCGGTGCTTCGAGATGCGACCGTTAGGTAATCCACGCTAAATGCATGTTCGTAACACTGCTCCCCTCTTAGATCTGAGCGTCCCGATCAGGAACTCTATCTATAGGCCCAGGATGGCGGAATCTACAGGACTCTCCAGCTCTGCATGAACCCCTCAGAAAGAAATAACAGTCTACTGTCTTTGAAGGACACGATCTCTTCGGATTAATGCAACACACAGTAATTCTTACACCGGTTTCTCGGAAGATCACTTCAAGCATGCTTCTGATAATCTTCCAATCCAGATTATCTAGTGCATGGCCTATCTTGGGCAAAGCCAAGTTCTTAATGTCGTAATTGCAGACGATTTTCTTCAAATTAGTCAGAGCACGCCATATATCCTCGTAGCTTGCCCTGTCTGTATACGACTTTCTGGTCACCATATACAACAAAGATCGAGAACCATCTTCTAATCTCAGCACTCTTCCAACTTTAGGCTGCTGGTTTTTTAACTCGTCCAAGCGACCAAATTTCTTATGAAATACGGATGAGATTCCTTTAGTCATCTCAAGATCTTGGGCAACACAGTGGGCTAGAGTGACGTTATGCGGAACACTAAAAAGATCCTGCTGAACTTCTGTCGTCACGCCGAATCTAGCACTCTTTCTCTCTGCGTAATTTGACATAAACTCATTAAAGCTTGGTCGCCGATCATCTTTGATCTCATGTTGAAGGGTTCGGACTTCTTCGGTTTCGTTTGAGCCAGCATAAGGTGCAAGACGATTTATGTGAACTACTTTTGGTTTACCTTTCGGCAATTTCTTAATTCGGTATATTACGTCATTTATTCTCTTTTTAATTTCATACGGACCCTCCCATTGTCTTTGCAGTTTAGGAGACAAGCCACGACGACGTTGGGGATTATAAAGCCAAACAAGATCACCTACTTCATAGCTTTCATTCTTGCATCGTGAATCGTATTGATCTTTCATTCTGTCACTGGCTAACTGGATGTGTTGTCGGGCAAGTTCATGAATGCTGTTCATTCTTAACTTTAGGACGATCGACATAATCTTCGCTTGCAACATGTTCTTCGGAAGGTCTGCAGCCAAACTCTAGGTCGCAGGGCAAACGAACTTCACGACCTAACATCAGGCAGGTTGGAGTCTGGCCTGTAGTTTCATTCACGGCCGAGCGGTATGCCATTAAGAATAAATGAATGTGCTGATCCCAATCTCTTTGATGTTTTGATACAACTTTGGACAGGTGTTTACCCATCGTTCGGTTCATCCTCTCGACCATTCCATCTGATTGAGGATGCAGGGGTGTCGTTCTGGTCTTATTGACACCAATCAATTTACAAACGTTTTGGAAAAGGTTTGACTCGAAGTTTCGCCCTTGGTCGGAGTGGATCTCCAAGGGAACACCAAATCGGCTAAAGAATTCTTTAACAAGTACCTCTGCAACGGTAGCAGCTTCTTGATTTGGTATCGCATAGGCCTCAGTCCATTTCGTAAAATAATCCATGGCTACCAGGATATATTTATTTCCATCATTCGTCTCTGGAAGTGGACCTGCAATGTCGATTGCTACTCGTTCCATAGGACTACCAACATTGTACTGTTTCATGGGTGCCCTCTTTTTACCAACTGGACCATTACTAGTTGCACACAGTTCACATTTCCGGCACCATCTTCTTACATCATCTTTACAGTTCACCCAATAGAACCGTTCTCGAACCTTTTGCAGAGTCTTCGTAATACCAAAGTGTCCACCTGATGCACCGTCATGCAACTGACGTAATACTTCTGACACTTTACTTTTAGGTACAATCAACTGAAACTTAGTTTCTGTACCATCATCGTTCTCAAAGGTTCTATACAGAAGATCATCTTTCAGCACTAGGCAATTCCATTGGCTCCAGTAACACTTGACTTCGGGACTACATGCACTAATGTCTTGCCAAGAAGGTCTTTCACTTCGACGCACCCAATCCAATACTCTTTTTATACATGGATCATCTGCTTGGGCGTCTTGTAGCTGTTGAGGCTGCCATTGGTCATTAATAACGGTGGTTCGCCTAACGGGGCAAAATCGTTCTTCTAATTCAAGACAATGATTACGATTTGCACTGTATGGCCGTCTTGATTGAACATCAGCATTTGAATGACTTTTTCCAGCCCAGTGCTCGATCTGTTCTAGCTTTCTGACTGTTGTATTATTTTCTTGCACTTTGTGGCGAATGTGACCTTCGTTGTTACCATTCCAACATCTGGGTTCACGTTTCTTCGGCATCATGTTACGAACTACTTTCCGTACGATTTCCTCTAGACGTTTATCGTTTCGTTCGTCACTTTCTTCAGAGGTTCGTACTTGATAGCTCCGTGAAACTCGACTAGCTATCTCATGTTCCAAGGCAATGGCGAGCGCTTCATCTAAAACTTTCGGTCTTGCTAGTCGTAAAGCTTTCTGTAGTTCACTGTCTCTCAACCCATTGACGAAGGCATCTACAGCAATTTCTTCCAAAATGTTGTCTGGTACCTCTGGATAGGCCAACAGCGCTATACGAGCAATATCTGCTTCAAATTCTTGCAAACTCTCACTTGCTCGTTGAATTCTACTTCTTATTTGTACTTTGTAGACTTGTTGTAGATGGGCATCTCCGTAACGTTTGTCTAGTCGAGTAAACAAGGTCTGGTAACATTTTTCTTGACCCTTAGGAATCGATCTTAGGATATCTGCAGCATCACCTCGTAAAGCAGCAGTCAAGGAAACAGCTTTTTCTTGTTCTGTCCAATGATTGGCTGTCGCAATAGCTTCAAATTGTCTAAGGTATATAGACCAAGAGGACTTTCCATCAAATGGTGGCAATTTGAATCTCATATGATGTGTCGTTTCGTCTCTCGGTGATTCTTCTTTTACTACCGGATCTAAAGCTACTGTGTTAACTGGCGGTAGCATATTTGTGTTAGTCATCATGGTCTCTAATTGTTTGATCTTCTCTTCTACGTTGTTTACATTTTTCTGTATCTGATCGAATGTTTTAGAGACTTCTTCAAATTTCTCATTGTTCTTTTTAGAAGTTTCTTCCATTGTTTGAGAAACATTTTCAAATTTCTCGTCAAATCTTCTAGACACATTTTCGAGTTTTTCGTCATTTTGTCTAGCTACTTCTTTAATAATTTGTGAAGTCTCGTCGAATCTTCTAGATACATTTTCAAATGTTTCATCAAATCGTTTGGAAACGTTCTCTAATTTATCATCATTTTTTTTAGAAGATTCTTCAATTTTTTTAGAAGTTTCTTCAATAATCATTTGAGACGTTTCATCGAATCTTTTGGAAACGTTCTCGAATTTTCCATCAATTATTTTAGTTAAAACGGCTTCTTCTGCTGATTTGAACTGGAATGTCTCTGGGTCTTCTCCATTCTTGTTGAGAACAGTCTTCAGTCGTTCTTGGAGTATCTTCTTGGACCCGCTGCAATCTTCATCGCGTTCTTCTAGTTGCTCACGCAACTGTTTCACTGAAAGTTCTACTGGTAGCATCTTTGGTCAGGCACACACGTACTTTTTAAACGTTCTTTCGTACAACGATCACTACTGAACTACGCGGATGTTCCCGACAAACAATACTTTTCAAAAGTTCAAAAGTCTCTTTTTTTCACTGTTAAATTTATGTTTAAATAAATCAATTGTCCTCACACGGTGACACCAACTGTACCGTTTTTAAATAAAACGAGCGGTTCGAATTTATATAAATATATTTATTTATAACTTTACAGTTCGGTACTATCTTATCAACTAAACTTAAATCCTAATTTCGTTACATATATATACCAAAGTATTATGTTCGAGAATATTCGAGAATAGTCCCACCTCTAATTCGTTATTTGACGGGTGGAATTTTACAGCGCTCGAAATATCGCCGAAACTCTCGGTGCTTCGAGATGCGACCGTTAGGTAATCCACGCTAAATGCAT